CTTCAATCGTTTTGGCTGAGATTTGAAAAATCTGGTGATCCTAAGCGCTTAAAGTGTTTGTTTGAGTTGGAAAGGTTGAATATGAGGAAGAGGAAATAATTGGGACCTCCGAAGAATCACGGCTTTGAGTTGAATTACCATTTGGGTAACGTGAACGTGGTAGCTAATGCAGTAAATTGGAAATATGTGCATAATACCAATATTGATGGTGAAAGGAGATAGAGCTGATTGAGCAACTTTGTAAAAATGAGTTTGGTGGGTGAAGAGACTTCTTATGGAGTCAAGATTTTATTGTTAGAACGGACTGGTTGTATCCTTGAAGAGAATCGAGAAAGTCATAAATTTGGATTGAGCAGGTGGATCAGTTGAATTTGATGAATCATAGTCGGAGAGTCGATCTTCGGGTTTATGGGAATAGTACCATGATGCGTTGTGGTAGAGTTTGTGTTCCAGATGTTGCTAAGTGGAGTAGGGGTACTCTCGAAGAAATACATTGAGGTGGATGGAGTATCCATCCCGGTGCTATGAAGAAGTAACTGAATTTGAGTAAATTGTTTTGGTAACCATAGATGAAGAGAGGTGTGGTGGAGGTGGAAAATACTGGATGAAATTGTCGAGAGTCAAAGATTGAACGTCAGAGACCATTGAGTTTGACTCGGCTGTTGAATATTCTGGAGAGGAAATTGGGTGGTATTTTCGTGAATTTGGGTGTTGAGATTTACAAAGAATTGGAAAGACATAATTTTAATTTGGATTATTGTGAGTGGATTGACTATTCTATGTTGAGGATTTATGTGATGCATATGGAGAAAGTGGTGAAGTTGTATGAGATACGGTTGAATATTGTGTCGAATGGAAATTGGAGGTTTATATTAAGACTTTGGAGAGAGCTTGTGTGTTGGATCAAGGTGGATCGTGGGATGGTTAATTACCGCTGATTGAGTCGCCTACAATATCAGTTACCATTCCAGTATCAGAATGGCACTGTATGGGGCCTTATGAGATAGAAAGTGCGAGACTCTCTTGAGTAGGGATGAATCGAGCGGAAGTCTTATGCTCATATCTGAGAATTTTGCACGAGACGGCTGAGGAAATCAAGAGGATCCAAGAAAAAATGTGTTTTGAGAGTTAGGATGGTAACGGGTGTGGGTCGAGCTTCGAAGTCTCGGGAACACACTCGGTGTTTTGTTTATCTGTATCAGAGTGGCGCATCAGAAGCGGGAGGAAAGTAGCATGCTAGACTACTTTACCGCTATCGCTTATGGATGGCATGATGTGTTTCATGTGTTTTCATTGAGGGAGTATGTTGAATCAGATAGATGATGTGCAAGTGAGAAATAATTTGATGGTTCAGGTATTGCTAGTTCGGATTGATGAAAGAGAAGCAACTTCGGGGGAAAGAGAAACCTTTGGTGGGAGTGGTTTGGAGAAGTGCTGCAAGAGGCAGTGTGACCTGGGAATTGGAAAGCAGGATGCGTGAAGCGTATCCAGAGTTATTTCCATCATGTATTTTCGAGGACGAAAATAATTAAAGTGGGGGGGGGGGGAGTTGTAACACCCATTTTAATTATTTTTGGTTTCCGAGTTATTTTATTCGTGGATGTGTTTTGAGAAATTATTTGGAGGATCAAGAACTCATGATATTGGTATACGGTAATAAAAATGTGATAGTTGATAGTAATGTAATATTATTATTAATTATTATCATTATTATTACTAATATTAATATATGAGAAAAATATAATTAAATGAAATTTTGGAATTAAGTGGATTAAAAGAAATAAGAGGATTATTATTATTATTATTGAGATTTTTGGATTAAAAGGGAATTATTTGGAATGAGGGGTGATATTCGCATTTTGGAAAATTGGAGGAACACATGCACGGGAAAGCAAGCGAAGAACACGATGGAGGAAGGCTGAAGCAAGAGTTGAAGCTTGGCCAGGAGATCATCAAGATTATCAATTCGTGTGGATGGAGAAGCTTCGTCAACATCAACAACGAATTTGAGGTAAGGGGGGGGGGGGTTTAACGGTTAATTGGTATTTACATGAATGATGGTAGAAGGGGAATCCCTAACCCCATGTATGAATATATTGCATGTTGATGACGATTGATGATGAATTGATGCTATTGCATGTTGTTGTTGCTGAGATTATTGTGTTAGATTATGTTAATTTCGTATGCATGTGCTGTAGAATGATGGTTGAGTGAATTGGGAGCTTCCGGGTAATTTCGAAGTTGAGCCGGAAGTTGGTTTTGAGAACAGAGTTGAGGAATTGTCGGATAGAACCGGGAATAGACCCTGTAACTAAGTTGCAGTATGTGGTTGGTTGTGGGTTTCGATTTAATCGGGCGAAATCGGTGTGTGGGGGATGACTCTGCAGCTCAGAATTTTTCTGAGTACGCAGGTATTCGCTGGGCGAATGAGGGGCGAGCCTTCGCCAGGCTTCGTCGGGCGAACTAGCCAGCGAGTGTTGGCAGAAGCTTCTGTCTGGCTTCGCCAGGCGAATGGCAGCGAGCCTTCGCTGCGGGGCTTCGCCGGGCGAACGCGCCAGCGAGCCCGACAACAGCCTGTGTTTTTGCTGCTATTTTGTGTTGTTTCCTTGTGGTTTTGGACCTTGTTGGTCATGTATGATGAGGAGCTTGCTGAAGAGCTAAGGTGAGTGTATGTGTGGCGTCGGGACGTGACGACTGTGGTACTCGTGAGATCATGATACGTAGATTAGGGTATGTTATGATACCTGTATGTTGTGTAGTGCAGGATGTGAACTCCTTGATATTCACTTCATTCGAGAGATTGCGTCAGTGTATGTTAAGATACATGTATGTGGTGATATAAGGGTGCTGAGTGCGATCGGATTAATGTGTTGTGATGATAGCTGAGTGTTGAGAGTGTGTTGAGGGTTGTAGGGCTGTATGGCCGGCGTTTATCGCATTTGACATAATCGGTGGATTATGTGTTAAGTCTAGATAAGTATGGATGTGGATCCGTAAGATCGATACGCTTGTTATGCGTTGTGTTTGTATGTTGTGAGATGGATGTGGATCCGTAGGATCGATACGCTTGTTATGCATTGTGTTTGTATGTTGTGAGATGGATGTGGATCCGTAGGATCGATACGCTTTATGTGCGTTGTGTGTACATATTGTAGTATGAGGACTGGATCAGTAGGATCGTTACGCCTAGTGCGCGTGGTATTGATGTGTTGTGTGCGAGATATGAGGATCAATATGATCGTTACGCCTTGAGTGCGTTGTGTTGGTGTGTTGTGGTGAGTGGATCTGTGGGGATCGGTACGCTTATTATGTGTTGCACTTATTTGCAGCTATGTGATATATTTGGGTCAGAAGGACCGACATGCCTTGTGTGCATTGTATGAGATAAGTTGTGTGGTGAATGGATCCGTGGGATCGACGCACTGTGTGTGCTTGTTATGTATGTATTTTGTGATAGGGATGGATCTGTGGGATCGGTACGCCTTGTGCGTCGTGTATATGTATATGTTGTGTGAGGGGTGGATCGATAGGATCAGTGCACACTTGGTGTGCCAGATGGTTGATGCGTGTGAATATTGTGTTGTGCTCCCGGTGGGGAGGGTGATTGCCATGTGTCCATCGATGATATTGTGTTGTGCTCCCGGTGGAGAGGGTGATGGCCATGTGTCCATCGATGTTATTGTGTTGTGCTCCCGGTGGGGAGGGTGATGGCCAGGTGTCCATCGGTATTGTTGTGGTGCTCCCATTGTGGAGGGTTGATGGCCAGTTGCCCATCGGTGTGGTGTGCTCCCTGAGTCGAGGGTTGATGGCCAAGTGCCCATCGTTGATATGTGCTCCTGTGTGGAGGGTTGATGGCCAGTTGCCCATCGTGATTGTGAGTCGGTACCGTATGTTAAGAGTTGTGTGAGTGCATTTGTTGCGTGATTGTATATTGTGGTTGATGGTGGGACCGTGAGTCCGGATGATATGTATATGAAATAGTATTATTATTGATTTCTGCCTTTCATTTCATGTACTATCATACCATTATTATTTGATCGTGATTCTCACCCCTTTGCTGTTGTTGTGGTCTGTGTTTCTTCGGAAGTACAGACAATCCAGGTGTTTAGCTAGCTTGGATTGTGGTGTCTCTGTAAGACTGCTCTGATACGTAACACCGGGGCCTTTTTGGGAGTTTTATCGCTTTATGTTAATTTTGTGTGCCCCTGTGGCGTATCCTGTTTGATGGTGATTGTAGATGATGCTATATGTATTTTTGGGCAGATGGCCATTGTTGTATACTTATGACGAGGATGATGGATATATATATATATATATATATATATATATATATATATATATATATATATATATATATATATATATATATATATATATATATATATATATATATATATATTGTGATTAATGGCAGACGATGTTTATATTTTCCGCTGCAGTTTTATTGAGAAAATTAACTTGAAAAAATGTGTTGTGGAATTTTAGTGTGAATTGTGACATCCCGTTGTGTGAGATACTCTGATATTTGTTTATTTTAAGTGCTTTATTTTATTTTGGAAAACGGGGTGTTACAAAAAATATAAGCCATTACACATGGAAATCATTTTTTTTTTGTTTATTTTAAGTGCTTTATTTTATTTTGGAAAACGGGGTGTTACAAAAAATATAAGCCATTACACATGGAAATCATTTTTTTTTAGATAAATAATAGAGGGATGTCCTAATTATATATGTCATAACCAAATTATTATTTTTTTCTTTATCTTGTATGTGATCACTTGTAAGATGGAGCAATTGCTCCTTTGAGATTGTGTGAGACATTTTAAAGGTGAGACAAAGTAAAACAGATCATGTTCTTAGTTTGAGACTTCAAAACTGCAATGACTTGTATACTATAAACCAGAAAAACCAAAAGAATAAATTAACAGCATATCAACACTTACACAAGCAAAAAAAAAGTATATAAATGAATTCATTTTGTAACCAATGAGATCAAATCCTTATTTACTTGTCTTTCCCTGCAAAACTTGAGAAGAAGAAGAACCACTTCCACTACCACCACCACCATTTGTATACAAAGATTTAAGCTGCCTGCTTATGAGTTTACTAGTATGAATAGTCTGCTGAAGCTGTGATGAATCATTAGACCACCATTGTTCCAATCCATGAGCTTCATGAAACTTCTGCTTTTCCTTATTCACAACAAACAGCTTTGCAGAAACATGACAACCATTGTTATTCGGACCAACATCCTCCTTATTACTATCACCACCACCTTCATTTTTCTCGTTCGATCTATCAGGTTCGTTATAAGAACAACATATATAATCACTATTGTTCACATAAAGATGAGGAACCCATTTTCCAACACCAAAACCATTATTCTTCAAGCTAGTTAACCATGGCATCATCCAATTCTTGTTCTTCTTTCTGTTTTCGTCGTTATTGATGTTATTAGCTTCTTCGTTGCGTGAAGGGATCATCGATTTGATTCTCCTCCAAGCTAATTCGGCTTTTTCACCAATGTTTCTTAGACTCATAGCTAATGAAACAGACGGCGGATTGAATAGATGCGTCTCTACATAGATACCGTCTTTCGCTAATGATTTTCCGACTTGAAGCGCGAAACCAGCTCCTAATGAATGTCCTGCTACACAAACATTGCTACTTCCATATGCATTGGAAACTGCTTTTAGTGTTTCTAGAGCTACTTTGAATCTTACGGAACCTTTTAAGCTTTCCCAAGCGAGGAACCGAAGGTCGTCTTCGATGTCTCTTCGCATTGTGAGGCTTTTGAGTAATGTTCCTCGTAGTGCTAAAACAGCTTTCGGTGCACCACTTGGTCTGATTAATACTAAATCAGACATTGCCGCGGATCTGTCCCATTCGAGTATTGCGCCGAAAATTGAACCGTCTCTTTCGTCTATCAGTGTTTTTGTTAGCTTGTACTTGAAGGGAATCCACCAGTTTGGCGCTAGAGCGTTTTCTGGTTGTCTATTCTCCTGTCGATCGAGTTCGAGCAAGTATACCGCCTGAATAAAACAAGCAATGACTGTTCTTTTGTAATTTGCATCCTTCCTGCAGGAAATAAATTAGTTGTCGGTACCTGTATGAAGTCTAGCTATATGCAATGATACTTTAGATTGGTAAGGTAAGTGTGACATATGTAAGTGTCCGACACCAACACGACAACACAGGCAAATATGCTTAAACTAAATAACTTCAATATTCCATCTGGTATCAGTGTCCTACACCAACATGACGATACAGACAAATGTGCTTAAAGTAAATGACATCAAGTATCAGTATCCAACACTAACACGACACAGAGGCTAGTATAGTTGTGGATAAAAACTCACATCCACAATCAACTCAACAAGGGAATTGAATCAACTGGTTCTGTCAAACCATTAAGTTACAGTGTATAAAATTGATGCAAACTTTAATAAACGAAAGTTGGGTCAACCAGTTTCATCGTTTTAATCCATAAAATCAATCTGGTTTTCAAAGAATCACATGCATTTCCAAGTGAAACAGTGACTTGATAAAATTAATGGATCAAACAATCACATTGATGTTGTTATTGTTAAATAAAAAATGATTTGCTGAAAATCAGGATCTCTGAAATTCGCACACAAAAACAAATAAGGCAACAAATAAATATGGAATCAAATAGATCATCTAAAGCATATAGATGAATTGATGAAGCTTCTATCTAATTTAGAATCTAAATCATTAAAATTCTAAAAACCCACCAAAAAATTATCTATGATAAACAAACCCACTTTTCAAAGTTTGCTTTGCCCTCAAATCTCAAAACCCAAAAACCGTAAATTTCAAAACCCCCCAACAAACCAATTTTTTTAAAGTTTGAACCTTTATGCTCAAATCTCAAAACCCATTTTCTGAAATCCCCACCTTCAAATCCAAATCTCAAACAATTCAGATCCAACCTAAAGAAAAGTAAGAAATGTGAAAGGGAACTCACCAACTAGAGCTGATAAGATCTCTCCAGTTAAGATTAACCAAATTACGAGGACCGGAAACATGAAATGCATAAGGATGACCTTCTTCTTCTTTTTCTGGCTGTGTTTGAATCACAACATTCTCATCTTCCACAACTACTTTTTCTTCTTTCAGTTTCTCCAATCGGGTTGGTGTTTCCATGTTATTGAGAGTAGCTTCAGAAAATTGAGGTAAAGGTTATAGATTTTTTTCCTTTCTCGGAACTAGTTTCGTTAGTTGTTTATGATGTTTTGTTTTAAAAATTAATAAATGACCAATTTTTCAACTGTTCATGTTTTTGAATAATAATTCTACAACGGTCATATTTCCCTTTTATTTCTCCGAGATTTTGTTTTATAGCATTATGCTTCTTTTTATGCATTCCTTTTCGTTTTTTTTTAAGTATATAAATTAATATATAAATACATTAATATATTTATTTTGTAACAGTTATTAATAAGTATTATTATTAATTTGCAACCGTTTCTTTTTCTATTTAATTTTTTAAAAATGACTTTATTTGCAATAATTTTTTATTTATTTAAGGGTGACAAACTTACATGTTCGCACCATTCTAAAAAAAAAAGATGGAACAGGACAGAAGACGATGTGGTTATAAAACTTTGGTACAATATGCAAAAAGTAAGTGCGGGATGGGAAAGATCCACGAACATTAAACATTTTTTTAATCTAACAATTATAAAATTGTATGTAAAAAACCCGTCAACAAAGGGAAAAAAAAGGGCCAGACAAAAGAAAAATAATATATTCGAGGGTGCGAGTCTAAAATTTTGGCTTGCTCCACAAAAAGTGAGGGTCATTTATGGCAGGCCCGCGAACATTGAAAATAATGTATGGTTGAACGCACTCTATTCACATTCCATTTTGAGCAAGGCTCTAAGGCTATGTAAAACAAAAAGAAACATATGCATTTGAATCTTTTCTCCTTCTTCATTTCTCAACTCTCAAACTATAACTCTTCAAACTCTCAAAACCTCACAACTCTTTCAACTCACAAACTCTCAAATGTATTCAACTCACATCCAAGTTTCTACCATCAACATTCAGTTGATCAAAGAGCTCAACATCAAACTCACATTTGATAAGTTTTTGATATGTTATTGGGTTATGTAATAGATAGTTTAGGCACTTTATTTAATTGAGAAATGTGTTTGATAAGTATTTTAAATGATCAATGCGTTTTTTATGTTTGATTCAAAGGTATGTCGGCCATTTTCAATCTTCTGAGTTGCAAAACAATCAGGAAATGCATCTTCGGTATTTTTCAACATTTTGATTTTCAGAATCCAGAGATGCATTTCCATTTTTTTATGTATACATTGTTTGACTTCATTCACAATAATATTTGAAGTTTTTGATGATAATTTATTTTTCTGTAGAATCATGATGCTTTAAAATGCATCAACCATGCCCAGAAGAATGTAGGCCTATCGCAGCCTACTGAGTAGTGGTTTCAGGATGTGATGCAACTGTCTGGACTGTGAGACTTGTGCATGACAAGTTATGGTAGGATTAACCATGGTATGTTGTCCATATTTGTAAAGATATGTCACTCTGAGACATTTTTTTTCATCTTTCACATGGTGAGATATCCATCACACATGACGATGTCTCATGCATAATGCATCTTCCAATCAAGGGAAGATTGTTACACCATGCTAGTATTAAGAGAGATGATGCAGTGGAAATGATGGTGACTTATCTGGCAGTTGATCTAGGGGATGCCCTGAAAGAGTTAGAAGTCAATCTAGGGTGTCATGCTAGGTTTCGATTCCTAAAGAGGTTGTATGCATAACAACTACATGTGACAACTACATGATGAGCAGGTTATGCAACATAGAGCATATACATTGAGAGAATACATGTTGTACTTGGTTGGCACGTCCATTTTTGTGGACAAGAGTACCACTTATGTGAATGTGGTTTAGCTAAGATACTTCCCTGACTTGGAACGGATCCATGAGCACAATTGAGCCCTTAAGAGTATATCTTGACTGCTTGGTTGCAAAAGGTATACACTTCCAGGCCTACACCGATCATCTTCGGTTGCGTACCATTAAAGACATAGTTGTCTACTCTAGGTGATTGGTTTGCGAATCACATATGATCTATCCATATCTTCTTGAGCGCATCATGCGATAATTCAGATACATGCAATTTGTTCCTAGTGATCCTTCTGATTCTGCTTCTCTTACTATGGTACGCAGAGATTTAGATGTCATGTTTGATGATTACCTTAATCATCAAGTATCAGATGACGGATATGGTACCCTAGCTCATAGCTAAAGATGCTCAAATTAATTGGTTTGATGGTTTATCCATAACCATATCCGAATCTGGTTTCAAAAATTGGTTAAATTTATTTTGGATTTTCAACCAATCCATTTTTAAAATTAATTGGACATCTGTCGCACCTTGAAAAAATAAAACAATCGAGAATGTAACGCCCCGATTCTGAATTCCCATTAATTGTTGAGTCTTTTAATTTATTTAATTGATGTTTGTTTTAAATTGAGAAATTATATATTACTATGTGGTGTTTGCTTATTTTATCTATTTTTACCGATTCGGAGAGTTTTCGGGGAATTAGAGTAAAAAGGGCATTTTAGACATTTAGCAATTTAGTGTGAGAATTGATTGGTAAGTGTTGGAAAGAATTTGAGAGGAAAGAAATAGAGATAGAAATAGAATAAGAGAGGAAAAGAAAGAAAGATAGTAACATAAGAAGAAAAACAAGAGAAATAAAAGAGGAGAAGAGAAAGAGAAGAGAAAGTAGAGAGGAAAACCTAGAATCATCAAGGGATCATCACCAAAACTTGCAATCGATCGGTAAGGGTGTGAAACTCCATCATCTCTTTAATGTGTATGATTGTATGTGTATGTGTTTGGATTTTGTAGAGTTTCTACTCTTTTTCCACTTAGGTTAGAAGTTGGTTTTGTGAGTAGAATGAGGTTTTAATCGGTTAGAAGTTGGTTTTGTGAGTAGAATGAGGTTTTAATCGGTTAGAACTCGGATTAGACGATGTAGTTTAGTCGGGTGATGGTAGGGTTGTGCCACTGAGACTGGTTTGGATTTAATCGGTTGGTTGTGTGGAGTTTGGGCTTTGGAACAGCCATGGAGTTTCTGTCTTCGCAAGCTCGCCAGGAGAATGGCAGCGAAGCTTCGCCAGGCGAAGTCCAGCGAGCTGTAGCGAAGCAAGTCAGAAGCTAACACCCTGTCTTCGCTGGCAAGTTCGCCAGGCGAAGTGAGTTGGCGAAGGTTCGCCACGAGAGTGTGTAGCGAGCCTCAGCGAGTAATTCCAGAATTACTCCCAGTGGTCTTCGCTGGGAAGTTCGCCAGGCGAAGGCCAGCGGGCATTCGCTGCGTGGCTTCGCCAGGCGAAGGTTGGCGAACCTGACAGTGTTATTTGTTTTGCTGTTTATTCATAGCATGATTTTTGGCCGATTCAATTATGATTAATGCCTATATGAATGATTGATGTGTGAACTGTTTCGACATGTCGTGCTGTGGGTGGCCGAAAGGCGTGAATCCTAGATTGTAAAGCCAATGGTGAATCTTGAACGTTTGATAATCTTGTGTATTTGCTTGAATTGAATAGGAACGCATTGATAGGATGATATGTGTGTAAACCATGTGTGAAATGGTGCATAATGTGAATGCATGATAGATATATGCGATGTATGTGATAAATGCAATGAGTATGTTTGTGAACATAGTATGCATTCTGTGTTGATCGATCCCTCGGAGGATTAGCATTGTGTAGCATCTTAGTATGCATTTTTGTGTTGAATGATCCCTCGGAGGATTTGCAGAACCTCGTATGATACGATGGTTACATTAGATTCCTTGGAGAATCGGTTGCATTGTGTGATTCCTCGGAGAATCGGTCATAACATGTAATCCCTTGGAGGATTGACTAGAGTATTTGATTCCGTGGAGAATCTACAGAGTATTTGATTCTGTGGAGAATCTGCTGAATATTCGATTCCGTGGAGAATCTGATGAATATTTGATTCCGTGGAGAATCTGCTGAATACTTGATTCCGTGGAGAATCTGCTGAATACTCGATTCCTTAGAGAATTTGTTGAAATGAGTCGGTATCGCATTTGCATCTGCATAGAGTCGTGTGTCGGTCTCTATGAGTTGCATGAGTCATCTGTGCATGATGCATTAGTTGAATGAATATAACTGTGTATGTTATATATGATTGTTGGGAGAAACATATAGTAAATGTTCATGAGCATGTGTAGAGGCATGATTAATTGTATATGCTTAATGTGGTGAGAACATAATTTGAGTATAACTTGTACAATTATGGATATATGTATATATACAATTTTATGCATTAACTGTTATGATATTGTTTCTCACCCTTCTGCTGTTTTATAATGCTCTATGAGGTATTGCAGAGTAGGAAGCTGGAGGTTCTTTTTGTGAAGCGATGTCTTCATTCTTTTTGGTCAATGGCTCTGATATGTAACATCTGGGTAGTTAGGAAGCCTTTGACTCTTTTGGAGTTACATTTGTTTTGATTCCTTGTGATACATCTGTGTATGTATCCGTTGTGGATATGGTTGTAAAGCATGAATTGATTGAATGGTTGTATATACTTTTATGAATGTGATCGATTCAATATTTGGATGTTTCCGCTTTTATTCTAAATATTAAGATGTGGGTTGCCCATTGTTGCATATCTATTTTGAGCAGGTATCGTATGTGTTTAATTTCGTGATAATGTGATGCGCCTCTTATATACCATGTTTTAATTAAACTCTGATGAAATAAATTTTCTAAGTGCCTAATTGATTAAATGTATTAATTTGGGGGTATAGAAAGGGGGTGTTACATTAAGTGGTATCAGAGCCAGTGTTGAGTCAGTCGTGTCTGTCTTGTTGTTGTGTTGGTTGAATGGTTGTTTAACCTTGTTGTTATTTTTGGGAATCCTCAGAATATGGTAGGTCGTAATGACAATGCTATGGCAGCGGCGTTAGAGGCTATGGCCAGAGCTATGTAGGGTGCACCTAACGTGAATGCGAATGATGAGTTCAGGAAGAACCACCCACCGGTGTTCAAAGGGAGATTTGATCCGGATGGTGCTCAGATATGGTTAAAGGAAATTGAGAGGATCTTTAGGGTGAT